TGGAATCCCATATCAGCTACATACTGAGAGTAAATGTTGAACCTAATTGCTCCTCTTTTCGAATTTTCATAGATCTGGAATCAATATTTTCCAAAAATATACGATTTTTAAAAAAACATCAAATACCGATGTTTTTCTACCTCAAAATACCAACTACGTCAAATACCTAATTTAATCTTTCGAAAAAAACAACAATTTCATAGTCAGCATAATACGGTGCCATCAGATATTCGGAATTTTTAGGGGTTTGTAGACATTTTATAACCGTATTGACATTTAGAGTTATTTGCAATAATATCTTGTCTTTAAGAAAAATTGGAACTGGTTTGAGTCGGTCATACTTTCCAATGTTTTCCTTTATTTATGGCGGAGACTACCACAATGTCGTTTTTACTCGGTAATTTTTCAACCTTCCCTACCTTGTATTGCCTGGGCTATGTATATCAAATTTTTCAATTGACGTTAGCGGTTCAAGTTAACAAGCTATACCCGTAACGCTTTTGTTATCTCTGCACAAAAACTTTCCAATGTCTGGGAAAAATTAATAATTTATTGCTACAAGAACTACTGATGGGAAATAGTGTCCGCTTATGATTATAAAGCTTCTGTTATCTAATTGTGGAAACTGTAATGGTAATTTTATAGACGTCACATAATTTTTTATCGAAATTTTACCGGCAAATATATTTTTGTAAGATATTAGATAATATTTTCCCCAAAAAATATAAGCAACGTTTTTGTGAAAAAATTGGTATTTACATTCGGTTGACTTGAACTGTTGCTAAAGGTAGAAGTTAACTGAACTCATTACATTGTCTATGCAGTGCATGTGTATGAATTCCGGTTGCAGCCACGTGAATTTCATTCACCTCTTTTGATTATTATTATTTTTTGTTGTTGTTTGTAAATAAATTCATCCGTGCAATTTATTATAGCCATGCTTAAGCAATTAAATATATGCAATTGTTATATAAATTAAAAAATTGAAGACGGTTGGGAAATCATCGCAGCAGAGGGGATTGAACTGTGTAGTATGATAAATTGATGATTATTGGGTGTATCTGAGAATTGTTGCTGCAGTTCTGCGATTGGTCCATTAACCTCAAACTTTTCTATATATTTGTCGTGGGATTCCCAAACTTTTTTATCATGACCCACAAATATTGCTCACTATAGAGAAATATCTTTTTTTATACCCTCAGCCAATGGCTACAGAGGGTATATATCATTTGATACGGCCAAAACGTGCCTCATCCGTTTCAGGACATTTGGAGTCGATCTAGAGATGTCCTCCGACCGTCTGTCTGGCTGGGGCTCCTGATAACACTCGAAGGGAGTAGCCGATTTGGTCTAAACTTGGTACATCGTAATATTTTTGTCAAACTTAGATCGAGTTCGGAGATGGGCAATATCGGTCCACTCCTTCTGGTACCTCCCCCACAAAAGGTTGGAATTTGCAAAAAAAATATTCTTTGTACAGAAAGAGAAAGGATGATCCGATTTTGCTCCAACTTTGCAAATCCTAATATTTGCGTCAGTACTCGGTCAGGTGTGAAAATGGACAATATCGTTCCACTCCATCAAGTACCTCCCCCACAAATGGTCAACATTTTTAATAATTACAACTCTCATAAAATGTGATATACGAGTCCGATTGTCTTCAAATTTTACAAATCCCAATATTTTTATTAAACCAAAGTCTGGTATTAAGATGGAATATATCGGTTCGCTCTTTCTTGTACCTCCCCCACAAAAGGTCGAAATTTTCAAAAAAAAAAAAATATATATATATATTCCGCACAGAAAGAGAAAGGATGATCTGATTTTGCTCGAACCAAGCAAATCCTAATTTCAGTGCTAGGTCAGATGCAAAATGGACAATATCGGTCCACTCCATCAAGTACCTCCCCACAAAGGTTCAAAATTTTGAATGATTACAACTCTTATAAAATGTGATGAAGATTCCGATTGTCTTAAAATTTCACACATTCCAATATTTTTATCATCTCAAGGGCTGATGTTAAGATGGAATATACCGGTCCACTCCTTCTGGTACCTCCCCCACAAAAGGTCGAAATTTTCAAAAAAATATATTTTCTGCACAGAAATAGAAAGGATAATCCGATTTTGCTCAAACTTTGCAAATCCTAATATTTAAGTCAATTCTAGGTCAGGTGCAAAAATGGATAATTTCGGTCCATCCAATCCAGCGCCTTCCCCACAAAGGGGAAGGAATATATCGGTCCACTCCTCCTTGATACCTCCCCCACAAAAGGTCGAAATTTTTAATATCCATTAAGCTCATAAAACGCGAAATTACCATCCGATTCCATTTAAACCTAGCATATCTGAATATTTCCATCAACACAAGATATGTTATAATGATGGTAGAGATCGGAATACTCCTTCTGGCACCTCCCCTACAAATGGTGAGAATTTTAAATAATCAAATCGACCATGAAATCCGAAAAAAGCATCCAGTTCTCTTAAAATTAGACATATCACAATACTTTTATTAGCCCAATGTCTGGTGTGAAGACGGTATACATCGGTCTACTCCTTCTGGTACCTCCCCCCATAAAGGGTCAAAATTTTTAATAGCCACGAAGATCATAAAACGCGATATGAACCTCCTATTTCATTCAGACTTGGAATATCGCAATATTTCCATCAACACAAGATCTATTATAAAGATGGTAGAGATCGGACGATTTCTTCTGGGTTCAATATTTTGAAAATTTTACTCATACAAATATTTTTGTTAGCAAAAGATCTGTTATGAAAATGAACCCCTTCCACAAATAAGCATAATTTCAAAAACGAAATTTGAAACAATTTCTGTGAATAATGTTGCTAAAATCGTCAAAATACCGAATAAAGGGAGGTACATTCATATGGGGAGTAACCATACGATAACGTGGACCTGCATAGGCAATTTTCGGTGACAGGCTGTAGCAGTCATTACGAACTTATAATACGAAATTTGAAACAATTCCAATGGATAATTTTGCTAAAATCATCAAAATACCGACAGGAGAATAATGTCGCTATTATCATCAAAATACCGAATATAGGAAGGTATCGTTATATGGGGGCTATATGAAGACCTGAACCTATATAGCCAATTTTCAATACCAAAAGTCCTGTATACCTAACACATATGTGAGAAAAATTTTGTCGACCTACTTTCGGAGGCTAGAGTGATTTCCAATTACGGATGGACAGACAGACGGGCGGACATCGCTAAATCTACATAAAATTTTATTCTCATCAAGAATAAATATGTACTTTGTGGGGTCTAAAATGTATATTCAATTAACAGAACTCAAGGAATCTGGGTCCAAAATTTTAAAAAAAATGTGGAATAGAGAGCTATTTGTCACCTCTTTTTAGTTTACTTTTCGATACAAACTTTTGAAACGCCGACAAAAGTGTCCTCGTTGTTTCGCTCTTAATTTTTCTTAAAAAAAATAATTTCGTCGAACATATTGACTTGTTACGATCCCGTTTTAAAAGAGTTTTTAAACATTTTTTTTTTATTCGATAATGTCAAAAAGTACGGAAGAGGGGTAAACTTGCCTCTTCTATTTAAATTACTTTATGATGTTAAATTTTAATACGACGATGCAATTCGTCGCACAGTGTAATTGCCGTTAATTCTGTTGTCAACTAGTTAGATAATCGCACTATACAGCTTTGATCCATTATTATACCCTGAACCATAGTATGGAGAGTAAATAAAATTTGTCATTTCGTTTGTACCACCTCGAATTATACTTTTTAGGTTGATAAAAATTTTACTCAAATGTGTATTATGTCTGCAGGACTTTTGGTATTGAAAATGGGACATGTAGGTCCAGGTCTTCGCATAGCCCCCATACAACGGTACCTCCCGATATTCGGTATTTTGATGATTTTAGCGACATTATTTACCGGAATTATTTCAAATTTTGTATTTGAAGTTCGTAATGGATACTACAGCCTATGACAGAAAATTGTCTGGGCAGGTCCATTTATAACCACCATGGTACCTCCCTATATTCGGTATTTTGTATATTATATATTATAAAAAGATTTTTTCAAGTTTCGCATTTGAATATTGTAATAGCTTGTGACAAAAATTGCCTATGTAGGTCCAAGACGTCGTATAGACCCTAATATACGGTATACGGCTACATTCGGTATTTTTAAGATTTTAACAGAATTTTTTTAAGATTTTAACAGAATATTTTTTTTTTAATTGTTAAATTTCTACCAAATGGTGGAGGGTATTCAAAGTTCGGCCCGGCCGAACTTACAGCTTTTTTACTTGTTTTTTTTTATTGTTTATAGGTCCTACGAAATATTCTCTAGACATATTTATTTAAGTTTGACTGTTCTACATTTATACATTTTCCTCTGTACACAATACAAAATATGTGGCCATTTCATTTTTAAATATTTAATTAACCTCACTTTAATATCATTCGGCAAGGTCGTGATCTGGTTCTACAGTCTATCTCAGATTCATTGATAATTCCAGTTCCAAAAAAAAAAAAAAAAAAATTCTCACGATAGGCAGCGAGATTTCTGTGGCAGAACTAAGTATTTTGTTGTTTCTTTGTTGCCAATCTTAAGGGTCTGTTGTTGTTGTTGTGATTGTGTTATGGCTTCTTCAGAATACCTTGTTGTTGTAATTTTATTAACTTAAATTATGATATTTTGTTGTTGTATTTGTGCTGGGCTTTCTTCAAAGCAGTTTTTTTGGTTTTGCTGTTGTGATTGTATTGGGTTTTCTTTAGTACATTTTGTTTCTGTCGATTTCTGTTTCTGTTTTGTTTCTTATCAATGCGAAAGTATCGAGAATTTATTAGCAAAACAAACAAACGAAAATAAAACACAAAAACCCGACAACAACAATAACAACAATGAAAGCAAAAAAAAAAAAGGTAACATTGGTATTCCTAAATCCATCGAAGCTTTCTTCGGATTTAATAAATTTTGCAAAATTTATTTGTAAATAGAGTGTGGTAGCATTCGGGCTCAGTGGCTTGGGGTATTTTTTTTTTGGTGGTGACCTTATTTTTGAAAAGTGAATTTAAAAAAAAAAAAAAATAAAAAATTAAATTAAAAAATATAAAATTGAATAATAATTAATTAAGAAAAATGTATAACCAAGAAGATATGAGAAAAATATTCAAACTTGCAATTATCCTTTTGTTGTGTAGTGAAATGCAACCAAGTAAGTTATTGTTTTTATAAAAGTGATAACTAAACAACTCTTAATTTTTTATTTTTTATCTCAAAATAAAAATAAATTGGAAAATTAAAAAAAAACAAATTAAAAATTAAATAAAAAATAGAAAAATTAAAAATTAAATTAAAAAAATAATAAAAAAAGAAAAACAAAAATTCAAATTTTTTCAATGTTATGAAATTGAAAAGGGGTCTGGTTTTAGTCAATTGAACTGAATCCCTATTAAAATAAGTGTATACCGATTTTAATAAATATATATCTGGTGAAAGGATGAAACGATTTCAATTAATTTTATCTACCGACATTTTCGGGGTTTATAATTAAATATTCGATGAAAACTGGATTGAGTGAGGATTTAAAAATAATTTTTAATTTTTGAGAAAATACAAATTTTTACAATTTAAATATTTTCTTCAAAATTTCTCTTCTCCGTGCCTAGAAAAATTCTATAAGGCAATTTTTTTCGATAATCCTTGGGATTTAATTTTTTTCTGTCCGAAAGCTAATACATATAAGCAATTTATGACCACCTTAGAGTTGAAACACGTCGGTAATCTTATTAGTAGATTATATAGAGTAGATTATCTATTAGTAGATTATCTTATGTAGAAACTACAGGATGAGATAAAAAACTGCAACAAAGTCAAACGCCATATTTTTTTTCATTTTTTTTAGATTTTATTGAATGAAAGCAAAAAATGTCGGAAATAGCATTAAATTTTAGAATAAGTTTAGATTTGTTCGATTTGGTCATCTTTGGCACGAATTATGGCCTTCAAACGGTTAATGAAACCATCACACGCTGCCCGAATGTTGGTCTGCTGTATTTTGGCCCATTTCCGGCATAGTGCTTGCTTGAGGTGATCGAAATTTTGGTATATTTTAGTGTCAACCTTGCTTTCCAAAATACCCCGGACACAATAGTCCAACGGATTAGTATCCGGAGATTTTGGTGCCCATTGTGCGCTGGAAATGAAGCGAGGAACCTCATTTTGTAACCATTCTTGGGTGGCGCGTGCTGAATGCGATGGTGCTGAGTCCTGTTGGAATGTGCAAGGTCTGCGGCCAAAATGTTTGCATGCCCAAGGCTTCAATACACCCTCCAGAATATTATTCACGATAATATTCGGCATTTATTCTGTGCCAAGGTCGATTAATACGACCGTAGAGCGACTATCGGCTATTATGGCGGTCCACACCATCACCATGGCCAGTGCTTGAGTTTTGGTGGCAAATCGAAGGTGCACATTTTCAGCTAACCTCTTTGGCAAGTAAAGACGATCATTTTGTTTGTTTACAAAATGCTGGACAACGAATGTTTTTTCATCGTCGAAAACCAAATTCGGCAGTTCAGCACTTTCGGCCAAGTGAAGTAACTTTTTAGCTCTTTTGTGTCTATTTTCTTTCTGTTGCGGTGTAAGTTCTTGCAATTTTTGGAATTTCAATGAGCTTATTTTTCAATATTTGCCGAATGGAATATTGCGATATGTTCAGCTTACGAGCCATTTTTCGGCTTCTTTACTTATCGAACCATTTCTGCTGATGTTGCTGTTTTCTTCCGTCCACTTCCTTGACGTCGGGCTACGCTACCTGTTTTACGGCAACGAGCAATGGTACGAGACACAAGAAATTTATTCACATTTAAATGCTAGAGTGCTCTAACGATAACCACTTGTGGTTTCTCAGCCAAATTTAAAGAAATCACACTATCACACTTGAATTCCATCACGAATTACTTTTTTTCTGAAAAATTCACACCAAAATGCTTTTGTACACTTGTAAACAATTTAATGAGCTGTCACTGGAATTATTTTAACAGCTGTCGGACGAGTGGCTTAGAAATGACAGCAGTCTGAAGTTGGTTGCAGTTTTTTCATGTCACGCTGTAAAAGGGGGAAAACCCCGATTTCTAATTAGATGTTATTAAAAGGTTATATCGCCTAATGGGTTTTCTGATCAATTTTTTGTGGCTTCTGTATATGTTGGGCGCCATTTCAGCTGGATTTGGAACAAGTCCTTATTTAGAATGTTTTATTTGCAGTTAGGCTATCAAAATGGACTGTATGTGGATATTTTGGGTTCTTTGTTATGCCTAACATGGTCCTACGGTTTTCTGACCAGTTTTTCGGCTTCTGTATATGTTGGGCGCCATTACAGCTGGATTTGAAACAAGTCCTTAGAATGTTTTATTTGCAGTTAGGCTACCAAAATGGTATGTATGTGGTTATTTTGGGTTCTTTGTTATAGCTCTCATGTACTTAGTACCTGGAGATTTTAAGTATTTTGTAGAAATATATTTTAGCCCAAAATAAGCGTCTAGAATTATATATCGTATACGGTCTTGATAATAGGTACAAATACCGATAAAATTAGATATTATTTATCCCTTGCATTTCCTATAGCTCGTGAAATATCCTGTAATTATTTTTAATTTGAAAAGCAATTTGAGCAGCATTTCAGACAGGTTTTCAAAATAAAATATTTCACAATTTTCGGAGTGCATTGCCTCGAACCGGCAAGTTTATTATTCCAATCGATTCAAATAAAGCATCCTCAAAAAGTAGCTATGGCTCAGCAATCACGTTCACACACACCGGGGATATCATTTATTATACGGTATTATCAATTCTTATCACTCAATTGACAATATACGTTCATATTGGCTATGATATATTAAATTCCCTAATTTGGAGTATATTTATAAACTTAAATGTTTGATAAGTTGGCAACAAACCTCTTGAAAATATTTAAATGACGTTAACAAAGGTTTCTAATCATCGGTCATTGTTTCCGAAATCGGCCACTTCAATAGTTAAATAAGAAAACTTTCCATAACCTGTTCTTATCTAGAGAGTGGTTACTAACTTGGTAACACATCACTGGAAAGTATGACCTTAGCAGAGGTAGAGGATGATTAAAATAATAGACTAAAAATAGAAAAAAAACATCGACAAAAAAAAAAAAAAAAAAAAAACATTGGTCTTATCGTTGCCAAGTACATATTGGGTATAAATCAAATTTTATTTTCAATTCGAACTGAAACAAAACACTTGAATTTTTTTTTTCGGAAATTTGTTATTAATATATGCATACCAACAACAAAAACAAATGTCGTACGATTTTTGTTTTGCTCGCTTCATTTCACTTTGGTAACGTGCAAATGCGTTGTGTAAAGGCATAACGCAAGGTGTGCGTTTATTTCGGCGGCTTCGCGGGGGGTTTATTTTTGTTTTGTTTAAAATTGTCAAAAAAATGTGTTGAACTTTTCTTATCAGGGCAAATAATTAAAAACAAAAAATATACTATAAATAAACTAATTATGGGAAAAACAAAGACAATGTGGACATAAAATAATAATTAAAATATATTAGAGGGGGTACCTGATGAATATACTTTGCTAATGATTTTTTTGGAAGGTTGACTGGTTTTTTATACTCTCCACCATACATAGTATGGAGGGTATATTAAGTTCGTCATACCGTTTGTAACTCATCGAAATAATAATTTGAGATATATTCTTGATCAGCGTAAAATTCTAAGACGAATCAGGCTAGAGTTAAAACGAATGAAGATAGAAAGCTAAAATGTTGGACAGATCAGTCTTTTGTCTGCAGGCAGGTCAAGTTCGAAGATGGGCTGTATCGGTCCACGATATCGTATAGCCCTCATATAATGGTACCCCACGATATTCGGCATTTTCATGATTTTAGCCAAATTTTTTCAATGATAATGCCTGAAAATCCACACAAGGAGTTCTTTCTGAGCACTTTACCTGCTGGAAGAGAATTGTCTATGTAGGTCCACGTTATCGTATAGCCTCCATATAACGGTGCCTCCAAATATTCGGTATTTTGATGATTTTAGGGACATTATTAACTGGAGTAGTTTCAAATTTCGTATTTAGAATTTCTAATGGATACTACACCCTATGACAAAAAATTTCGTATGCAGACCCACGTCTTTGTATAGGCCCCATATATAAGTACCTCCCGAAATTCGGTATTTTGACGATTTTAGGCACAATATTCATCGAAATTGTTTGAAATTTCGTATTTGAGGTTCGTAATGAGAACTACAGCCTGTGGCAGGAAATTGTCTATACAGGTCCAGGTCTTCGTATAGGCCCCATATAGCAGTACCTCCCAATATTCGGTATTTCGAAGTTTTTAGCGACATTATTCACCGGAGCTGTTTCAAATTCGGTATTTAGAATTCTTAATAGGTTCTACAGTCTATGACAAAAAATTGTTTATGCAGGTCCAGGTGTTCGTATAGGCCCCATAAATCAGTACCTCCCTATTTTCGGTATTTTGACGATTTTAGGTACAATATTTACCGAAATTGTTAAATTTCGTATTTGAAGTTCATAATGGGAACTACAGGCTGTGGCAGAAAATTGACTACGCAGGTACAGATCTTCGTATAGACCCCATATATCAGTACCTCCTGATATTCGGTATTTTGACGATTTTAGGTAAAAATATCCACTTTAATTGTTTAAAATTTCGTATTTGAAGTTCCTAATAGGTAGTACAGCCTCTGACAGAAAATCGCCTATGCAGGTCCAGGTCTTCGCATAGCTCCGATAAGACCGTACCTCCCTATATTCGATATTTTGATGATTTTAGCTATATTATTATTAAGCGGATTTTTTCAATTTTTGTATTTGAATATTCTAATGGCTTATGACAATAGTTGCCTATGCAGGTCCACGTTTTCGTATAGACCCCAATATAACGGCTATATTCGGTATTTTTAAGATTTTAACAGATTTTATTTTTTTTTTTGAAAATTTTCAAATTCGTTCCAAATGGTGGAGGGTATTCAAAGTTCGGCCGGGCCGAAATTACAGCTTTTTTATTTGTTTTTTTTTTCTCCTTTTTTTGTTGGGAAGGTTGACTGGTTTTATTAATTGGGTTAGTGGACTTTTGTAAGATTTATTATTCTGAAAAGTTATTGCCGAAAAAATTTTTTAACTGGTTTCACCACTTCATAAACTATTTAAATCCCAAAGAATGCGGAATTTTAAATTATGCGGAATTTTAAATTATGCCAAATATTTAAAAAAAAACTTGTATTGATCTTTTCAGGTGACACACAATTGGATTCATATGAAGATCGGATATTGTATTATCGTTCCGATAATAATGCCACCATTGCCACCTTGGATAGCAGTAAATATCATGCCTCAATTAGACTAAAAGAAAAGGATGGACGTTATGGTGCTGGTCATATATGCTCAGGTGCATTGATAGCACCATCTGTGGTCCTGACGGCAGCTAGCTGCGTATATAAGTAAGTAATTTGTAAATCTTAGTATTCTGGAGGGGGTATTAAAGCCTTGGGCACGCAAACATTTTGGCCGCAGACCTTGGATATTCCAACAGGACTTAGCACCTCAGCACGCGTCACCCAAGAATGATTACAAAATGGGGTTCCTCGCTTCATTTCCAGTGCACAATGGCCACCAAAGTCTCTGGATACCAAGCCGTTGGACTATTGTGCCTGGAGTTTTTTGGAAAGCAGGGCTTGGCACAAAATGTAAAAATTATGGCGTTTGTCTTTGTTGCATTTTTTTTATCTCACCCTGTATATTCGTTATCTAAACTTTGCCCTTGGCAATAAACCTATTTTTATCTCTTCATTGCGACTATTTATTTTTATCAATTTAGAATCAGAACTTCTGGAAAAATGCCGATATCTTGCTTAGCAATAACACATCGAATGCATTTCTTTATGACCTTCAATAATTTGACTCTTCCTCCCCTCCCTCTCATTGCAGTTATGCTGACAATAAACCTTATCATCCCTCCGAACTGAAAGTGGTCTTGGGTTCTGTGGCACGCTATCAACGGCACGAGCAAACTTTAATCTACAGCGTGACTCACAGTTATCAACAGCAAACCTTCGATGCCATAAAGCTACGTGACAATTTGGCCATTCTAATGTTGGAACGTGATGTACCCGAAATGAGTGCAAACATCAAACCGATTACTTTGCAAGCGTACAACACCAATTGGTATGGCAAGGCCGGAGATAAACAATTTAAGGTTACCACATGGTTGCAAACCCATGAGGGGTTGTTTTTGAACCCGTTGATGTTTTTGGATGCCAAGAAAATGGACAGTGAAGATTGCCTAAAACTCTATGGTCCTGTCTATGCTGCTGGTATGCTGTGTATGAGTACCGCGGAATCGGGAATGATCCATGACATTGGCTCTCCCCTATTTCTGGAGAATAAATTAATAGGTGTGATGAGCTTTAGTGATGGTGCCAAGGGTCCTGCCATTTATACTGATGTTACGTATCACAGTAAATGGATACGTGAAATGATCGGTGATGGCCGCAATAAAAATAGCTCTGTTTGGGGTATGTTGGGTTTCTTAGCCCTAACCTGGTTGGCTCTGAAGCGCACAAAGTATTTTAAGTCTTCTTAAATGTAAACTCAGATATATATTCGTAGTTATAAGTTGAAGATCTCGTTGTAAATTGCTTATTGTTAAAATAGCTTTAGGTAAAAGCAATTATTTATTATTTATTTATAGAGAACCCCAAATATTTAAAACTGTTTTATAGTTTTTCCAAAAAAATATCTGCCAAATAAATGTACATAAATATATAATCAAAAAATATTAAACCACAGATTTTATATTTTCATAACCAAAATCCGCAATATTTAAGGAGTTATGGCCATTTTAAAATATTGATTATTCCACACTTAAAAAAGTGATCACAAATAATAGCTACAAATGCCGAAAACTCAATATTTAAGGAGTTATGGCCATTTTAAAATATTGATTATTCCACACTTAAAAAAGTGATCACAAATAATAGCTAAAAACGCCGAAAACTCAATATTTAAGGAGTTATGGCCATTTTAAAATATTGATTATTTCACACTTAAAAAAGTGATCACAAATAATAGCTAAAAACGCCGAAAACTCAATATTTAAGGAGTTATGGCCATTTTAAAATATATAATAATTCACACTTAAAAAAGTGATCACAAATAATAGCTAAAAACGCCGAAAACTCAATATTTAAGGAGTTATGGCCATTTTAAAATATGTAATAATTTACACTTAAAAAAGTGATCACAAATAATAGCTAAAAACGCTGAAAACTCAATATTTAAGGAGTTATGGCCATTTTAAAATATGTGATAATTCACACTTAAAAAAGTGATCACAAATAATAGCTAAAAACGCCGAAAACTCAATATTTAAGGAGTTATGGCCATTTTAAAATATGTGATAATTCACACTTAAAAAAGTGATCACAAATAATAGCTAAAAACGCCGAAAACTCAATATTTAAGGAGTTATGGCCATTTTAAAATATGTGATAATTCACACTTAAAAAAGTGATCACAAATAATAACTAAAAACGCCGAAAACTCAATATTTAAGGAGTTATGGCCATTTTAAAATATATAATAATTCACACTTAAAAAAGTGATCACAAATAATAGCTAAAAACGCCGAAAACTCAATATTTAAGGAGTTATGGCCATTTTAAAATATGTGATAATTCACACTTAAAAAAGTGATCACAAATAATAGCTAAAAACGCCGAAAACTCAATATTTAAGGAGTTATGGCCATTTTAAAACATATAATAATTCACACTTAAAAAAGTGATCACAAATAATAGCTAAAAACGCCGAAAACTCAATATTTAAGCAGTTATGGCCATTTTAAAATATGTGATAATTCACACTTAAAAAAGTGATCACAAATAATAGCTAAAAACGCCGAAAACTCAATATTTAAGGAGTTATGGCCATTTTAAAATATGTGATAATTCACACTTAAAAAAGTGATCACAAATAATAGCTAAAAACGCCGAAAACTCAATATTTAAGGAGTTATGGCCATTTTAAAATATATAATAATTCACACTTAAAAAAGTGATCACAAATAATAGCTAAAAACGCCGAAAACTCAATATTTAAGGAGTTATGGCCATTTTAAAATATGTAATAATTTACACTTAAAAAAGTGATCACAAATAATAGCTAAAAACGCCAAAAACTCAATATTTAAGGAGTTATGGCCATTTTAAAATATGTGATAATTCACACTTAAAAAAGTGATCACAAATAATAGCTAAAAACGCCGAAAACTCAATATTTAAGGAGTTATGGCCATTTTAAAATATGTGATAATTCACACTTAAAAAAGTGATCACAAATAATAACTAAAAACGCCGAAAACTAAATATATTTAAGGAGTTATGGCCATTTTAAAATATGTGATAATTCACACTTAAAAAAGTGATCACAAATAATAGCTAAAAACGCCGAAAACTCAATATTTAAGGAGTTATGGCCATTTTAAAATATGTGATAATTCACACTTAAAAAAGTGATCACAAATAATAGCTAAAAACGCCGAAAACTCAATATTTAATGAGTTATGGGCATTTTAAAATATGTGATAATTCACACTTAAAAAAGTGATCACAAGTAATAGCTAAAAACGCCGAAAACTCAATATTTAAGGAGTTATGGCCATTTTAAAATATGTGATAATTCACACTTAAAAAAGTGATCACAAATAATAGCTAAAAACGCCGAAAACTCAATATTTAAGGAGTTATGGCCATTTTAAAATATGTGATAATTCACACTTAAAAAAGTGATCACAAATAATAACTAAAAACGCCGAAAACTCAATATTTAAGGAGTTATGGCCATTTTAAAATATATAATAATTCACACTTAAAAAAGTGATCACAAATAATAGCTAAAAACGCCGAAAACTCAATATTTAAGGAGTTATGGCCATTTTAAAATATGTGATAATTCACACTTAAAAAAGTGATCACAAATAATAGCTAAAAACGCCGAAAACTCAATATTTAAGGAGTTATGGCCATTTTAAAATATGTGATAATTCACACTTAAAAAAGTGATCACAAATAATAGCTAAAAACGCCGAAAACTCAATATTTAAGGAGTTATGGCCATTTTAAAATATGTGATAATTCACACTTAAAAAAGTGATCACAAATAATAGCTAAAAACGCCGAAAACTCAATATTTAAGGAGTTATGGCCATTTTAAAATATATAATAATTCACACTTAAAAAAGTGATCACAAATAATAGCTAAAAACGCCGAAAACTCAATATTTAAGGAGTTATGGCCATTTTAAAATATGTAATAATTTACACTTAAAAAAGTGATCACAAATAATAGCTAAAAACGCCGAAAACTCAATATTTAAGGAGTTATGGCCATTTTAAAATATGTGATAATTCACACTTAAAAAAGTGATCACAAATAATAGCTAAAAACGCCGAAAACTCAATATTTAAGGAGTTATGGCCATTTTAAAATATGTGATAATTCACACTTAAAAAAGTGATCACAAATAATAGCTAAAAACGCCGAAAACTCAATATTTAAGGAGTTATGGCCATTTTAAAATATATAATAATTCACACTTAAAAAAGTGATCACAAATAATAGCTAAAAACGCCGAAAACTCAATATTTAAGGAGTTATGGCCATTTTAAAATATGTAATAATTTACACTTAAAAAAGTGATCACAAATAATAGCTAAAAACGCCAAAAACTCAATATTTAAGGAGTTATGGCCATTTTAAAATATGTGATAATTCACACTTAAAAAAGTGATCACAAATAATAGCTAAAAACGCCGAAAACTCAATATTTAAGGAGTTATGGCCATTTTAAAATATATAATAATTCACACTTAAAAAAGTGATCACAAATAATAGCTAAAAACGCCGAAAACTCAATATTTAAGGAGTTATGGCCATTTTAAAATATGTGATAATTCACACTTAAAAAAGTGATCACAAATAATAGCTAAAAACGCCGAAAACTCAATATTTAAGGAGTTATGGCCATTTTAAAATATGTGATAATTCACACTTAAAAAAGTGATCACAAATAATAGCTAAAAACGCCGAAAACTCAATATTTAAGGAGTTATGGCCATTTTAAAATATATAGTAATTCACACTTAAAAAAGTGATCACAAATAATAGCTAAAAACGCCGAAAACTCAATATTTAAGGAGTTATGGCCATTTTAAAATATGTGATAATTCACACTTAAAAAAGTGATCACAAATAATAGCTAAAAACGCCGAAAACTCAATATTTAAGGAGTTATGGCCATTTTAAAATATATAGTAATTCACACTTAAAAAAGTGATCACAAATAATAGCTAAAAACGCCGAAAACTCAATATTTAAGGAGTTATGGCCATTTTAAAATATGTGATAATTCACACTTAAAAAAGTGATCACAAATAATAGCTAAAAACGCCGAAAACTCAATATTTAAGGAGTTATGGCCATTTTAAAATATATAATAATTCACACTTAAAAAAGTGATCACAAATAATAGCTAAAAACGCCGAAAACTCAATATTTAAGGAGTTATGGCCATTTTAAAATATGTGATAATTCACACTTAAAAAAGTGATCACAAATAATAGCTAAAAACGCCGAAAACTCAATATTTAAGGAGTTATGGCCATTTTAAAATATGTGATAATTCACACTTAAAAAAGTGATCACAAATAATAGCTAAAAACGCCGAAAACTCAATATTTAAGGAGTTATGGCCATTTTAAAATATGTAATAATTCACAATTAAAAAAGTGATCACAAATAATAGCTAAAAACGCCGAAAACTCAATATTTAAGGAGTTATGGCCATTTTAAAATATGTGATAATTCACACTTAAAAAAGTGATCACAAATAATAGCTAAAAACGCCGAAAACTCAATATTTAAGGAGTTATGGCCATTTTAAAATATGTGATAATTCACACTTAAAAAAGTGATCACAAATAATAGCTAAAAACGCCGAAAACTCAATATTTAAGGAGTTATGGCCATTTTAAAATATGTGATAATTCACACTTAAAAAAGTGATCACAAATAATAGCTAAAAACGCCGAAAACTCAATATTTAAGGAGTTATGGCCATTTTAAAATATATAGTAATTCACACTTAAAAAAGTGATCACAAATAATAGCTAAAAACGCCGAAAACTCAATATTTAAGGAGTTATGGCCATTTTAAAATATGTGATAATTCACACTTAAAAAAGTGATCACAAATAATAGCTAAAAACGCCGAAAACTCAATATTTAAGGAGTTATGGCCATTTTAAAATATATAGTAATTCACACTTAAAAAAGTGATCACAAATAATAGCTAAAAACGCCGAAAACTCAATATTTAAGGAGTTATGGCCATTTTAAAATATGTGATAATTCACACTTAAAAAAGTGATCACAAATAATAGCTAAAAACGCCGAAAACTCAATATTTAAGGAGTTATGGCCATTTTAAAATATATAATAATTCACACTTAAAAAAGTGATCACAAATAATAGCTAAAAACGCCGAAAACTCAATATTTAAGGAGTTATGGCCATTTTAAAATATGTGATAATTCACACTTAAAAAAGTGATCACAAATAATAGCTAAAAACGCCGAAAACTCAATATTTAAGGAGTTATGGCCATTTTAAAATATGTGATAATTCACACTTAAAAAAGTGATCACAAATAATAGCTAAAAACGCCGAAAACTCAATATTTAAGGAGTTATG